CCGGGCCCCGTCACTGGGAAGTGGCGCACAGGCCGTCACCAGGTCTTAATTTGGGAAGCGGGGAGGGGGAGCCAGGGCTGACGTGTCCGCGTCCCACATGTGTGAGGAAGACGGGGAAAGGTCACCCGAGGTCAACACAGATCCGGAACACAGGGACTTGCCTCATCGCGACCTGTGGCTGGCGACCAGCAGAGCCTGCTCCCCGCCCGCTCCTCTCCCGAGGCCATGAGGGGGGCCGTGGGTGTTGGCTTGTCTCCCCTCAGGGAGCGGACTCCATCTTTAAGTCACAGTTAGGTTTCTCGTGCCTTGTGGGTTTGGGGCGGGCGTAGAGGCTCCGTTCTAAGAAAACCCGCAGACCCGCATGGCCCGCGGGCGGGAGTGAGGTCTGGGCTTGCGAGGCCCCAGGCAGGCAGTGGTGCGAGCCCAAGGCTCCTCTGGAAACTTCCGGCCAAACCCCAGGGTCCCGGCTGCAGGTGACTTGGGGTCGAAGGATGCAGGAAGTCAAAGCTCTAACGAAATTTACATGGCACCCAACGTGGCCTCTTTTTCCACGGGGGAGATGAGGCTCAGAAAGGGACAGTGACTCCCTCGCGATGGCACGGTGGGTCCCAGGACGCCTGCTGTGTGCAGGACGCAAGGCACAGTGCATCCGTCCGGTCCCCTTAGCCACCTGTGCAGCTCTGTGGGCAGCACAGGTTACAGATGGGAAGCCTGGGCCTGGGGAGGCTGCACAGAGCACGTGTCCGGGGACACAACCGGGGCTGCACCAGCATCGGAATCCAGGCTCGTCGAAATCCAGGCTCTCGGGTCCCACCTGCTGCGGGCGCAACCCTGGTCACCGCACCCTGTTCAAGCTCAACCCGGTCCCCTGAGCCTCGGCTAAGTGGGGGAAGGAGGTGGGTCGGTGAGCCACAGCCCCGCTGGCCTCCCCTGTCCTGCCAGACCTGTGTTATTTCATGCTGAGCTCACACTTGTCTGCCCTGCCCTCTGGGGACTGTCAGGCTGAGCTGAGCCTGACGTCCCAGCCCTCCGTGGAGAGAGGACACACAGACAGTTGACTAGAACACACAGACCACGTCCAGGGGCTGATGGCTTTAGCCGTGTCCTCGGGACGACCCTGCAGAGCTTCGGGCGGTCACCCAGGGAGCCGGGGGCAGCTAGGAATTCCAGCCACAGGAGGCGGAAGGAAGCCGAACTGTGGGCACCGGGCACCACTGCCCCTCTCTCCCCCCTTGGGCGAAGGGTGACCTGTCCTCTTCATGGTTCCGAAGGCCAGTGCAGATGGACAGCCCACAGGGCCCGGTCTCCAGGAGTGCTGTCCCCAAGGTTTTAGCCCCTCCCTCGGCAGCACTGAATGGGCAGAAACTGGAACACAGCAGGGTTCCGCCCGCCCCCTGCCCCGTGATAAGAGGATTAGGGTCCCCCACGGAGAGACTCCCCCCCCCCCACTGACTGCCCAGGTGGCTTTCACAGAAGGAGCTCTGGGGAGAGGTGACAAGGGCCACCGCGAGGACTGGGCAGATTAAGTGCTGAGCGTGGCCCCCAGCCACCACTGGTCCTGCCTGCTTCCCGGGGAGGGAATCAAAGGGTCCGGGCAGAGGGAGGGTCGAGGGTCTGGGGGAGGGGACGGCGAGGGACACTTGGTTGTCCCTCCTCTCGGGATCCTGCCACCACGCAGAGGGCTGGAGAAGGAAGTGGCACGGTGAGAAGGGTGAGGCCAGGCAGACGAGGCCCCTGGGTGGAGGGAGGGCGCCCCCCACCCCGCATCCACTTAGGCCTGTACTGCCCGGGGGCCAGCCGGCCGCATCCTTGCTGCCCGGGGATCTGGTTCCCATGGAGACAGGAAGGAGCGCGAGGTGGCAGGTGTGAGGGGCGCGGCCTCACCCTGGCAAGACGCCCACCCGTCCTGCCCGGGAGTGTTCCTGACGTGCGCTCCGCCGTCTTTATGAGCCAAGTAATTGCAAGTGATTATTCCATTAAAACTCATTGAAATATGAATCCATCGCGTACCTCTGTTAGATCCAACACCTCGTTTAAAAACCCAGCCGAAACTCTAGACGAGCGCCGGGGGGGGCGGCCGCAGAATGGGGACGCGCCTCCCTCCGGGGTGGGGAGGGCGGCGGTCAGGGTCAGGGGCAGGGGCAGGGGCAGGGGCAGCTGGGTGCACGTCCTCTTGCACTCTCCGTTAGCCGTCTTCAAGGTTCGGGGACCTGGTGCAGACTGGGGAGGGCGGGCTCCTTTCCCCGCTCGTAGGTCAGGGTCAGGGTCAGGGGCAGCTGGGTGCACGTCCTCCTACACTCTCCGTTAGCCGTCTTCAAGGTTCCGGGACCTGGTGCAGTCGTAACCCTGACATCGCATCTCCCCGGACAAATGGGCGTGTTCCCGACACAAAACTTACACTTGGCGGTTGGTTTTCTGGGCCTTCTGCGTCCCGGCTGGACCCGGGTTGAGACGTCGCTCTGTGTGGGGGCGGCGGCGTCGCTGGGCAGGCCAGACACCGGGTTGGAGCCCCGTGCTTTCCCACGCCCGGCGCGTGGGTCTCCTTGGCCCGTGGGGAGGGAAGAGGGTTACTACAGATGGGCAGTGCGAGGGGTCCACGCGGCACTGTGATTCAGTGACCTCGAAGTGACCGTCTCTGCGTGGCCGCGGACGGGTCAGGCCTGACGCCGGGTGTGCCCGTGCCGAGGACGCGTGCTCGCACAGGCCGCGCGCGTGTCCCCATCAGTGCCCGGCACACTCTGCTCGCCGTGCGGGCCTGCGGTCGCCACGACAACCGCTCTGGGCTGGGCCTGCTGTCAGGGGATGCACCTGGGCCTGGCGTGCGGTGGACACCCCAGCAGGTGCGTGTGGGACAGTTGCCCTGGCAACACCCAAGCCAAGCGGACGTGGGAAACACCCAGAGTCCTCGCTGGCCTGGGGACAGGGCCTCGTTTTCGCTGTCGTTTTAGACAGAGTCCCTGCTGTAAACCCACGAGCAGAGGGTCGGATCCCCACCCCCACCGCCGTTTCTTGCCTGAGCAGCCACGGCGCGGAGAACGTGAGCGCTCCCTCGCGGCCACGCGGCGCGGCGAGGAGGAACCAGGACCCGAGACTCGGGCAGGAGGACATGCCCGGGGGTCCCGGATGGGTCAGCACCACCAGGGGCGCGGGCGACCAGGACCAAGGGCACGGGCAGGACTCTGGAGAGACCGGTGGTGCTGTGGACCACAGGCTGTGCCCAAAGGGGAAATCCCACTGGGGAAATCCCGCTGCCCCATGTGCACCCCCGGAGCCTGTGGGCCAGTGCACAGCGGTGGTGTGTGCTAGGCAGCCACATATCAGTCCTTCCCACGAAGCCATCCAGGTTGTCAAACAGAGATGCATTCCCCAGGGGACGTCACGGAGCTCTGGCTTTACTAGGAGAAGGAAGGTCTCAGTACCTGGCAGTCCTGCCCCACACCCAGGAGAGGGAGGAGAAGCCAGCGGCTTGCTGCTCTCTGCAGGCCCCTGCCGTGGGGGGCTCCCGTAGTCCAGCCGGGGGTCGGAACAGCAGCCCTAAGCTCGACCTCCCAGCCCCGGGCCAGTCCTCACTCCCAGGTCTGCAGCGGGCCCTCCAGGCCGTCCCACGGCACATGCGCACTGTCCCCGTGTCCCTCCCGGCCTCATAGAGCCCTGTCACCTCGCTGGGGCCACTGTCCTGGGCTCTGTCCTCTAGCCTCGTGTGACCAGAGGTGCCCACCCTTCCACCTCAGGGCCCGGCCTGTGGCCTCCCATTCACGCCATGGCTGCTGGGCAGAGGCCCAGGGGCACGGGGCCAGGCTGCGTGAGCTCGCAGGAATGTGGCTGCCGGGTAACTTCTCGGCATCTCCAGCCCCGGAAGCTGCCCCCGAGTCAGCCAGGCCAGAAGGGGATCGAGGCCCGTGACCCCTGGCCCGGTTTGCTGAGCCTTGTTTTCCCTCACAAGACAGGCAGGTGGCAAACCTCTCCTGAGCCCACACACCTGGTCTTGGGCCCAGGGATAAACGTCCCAAACCCTGAGCTGCAGTCACCTCCTGGGACCAAAAGCAGAGCCAGGGCCCTGCAGCAACCATGGCAATGTCTCGTGTGTAGGTGGCGACTAGGCTGGAGGAAGCTAGTGGGCCAATCTGGGAGGGCTTCCTGGACGAGGCCCCGAGGTGCAAGCAGGCTGTGTAGCTGTGATGGACCACTCTGTGCACTGGCCCCTTTTCCCCTCCAGGAGGCAGTGGAAGGTGGAGCTCAAGCTCCAGGTGGCAGGGAGCTCCACACGTCCCAGGGAGCCTGAGGGCAGTTTGTCCGCTCTCGCCCCCGCCCCCGTCTGCCAGAGGTGTGGCAGGGCTGCCCCCACGGCTCTGAGGTGTGCAGGAGGAGGGGGGCTCCGCTGTGACGGGCCCCAAGGCTGCCGCCCGAGGGACTGGCGCTTCCCTCCGAGGGACGGCGAGGGGTCTCTGCTGGCCTCCCTGTGGCCCAGGGCTGCAGAGCAGGGGCAGGAGGCGTCACCGGGCCACGGTGCCAGCACACCAGCTGCACTGTCTCTCGCCATGGGGTGCCGAGAGGTCACTGCCATTAACAACCCCACACATCTGCTCTGAGTCACACGTTCATTCGCAGACTCGTCGTCATCCACCAAGATCCCTGAGGGCCTACTGTGTGCGAAGACCCGAGCCGGGTCTAGCGGAAAAGCCCAGTGTCAGCAGACTTGGTGGAGGCACAGAGGAGGGAACGAAGGGCGCGTTGGCCGCGGGCGTGAGGGAGGGATTCAGGTGGCTGCGGTGACTGTGTGGAGAGGCAGAACTGCGTCCCCGGGGGAACGGAGGACTCCCGCTTCCTCCCAGACCAGCTCCCCCGCCGTCCGCCGCTCGCCAGGGGCGACGAGCCCAGCCCGGCCCGTCCAGGCCCGAGGTCCTGGGAGGTTCCTGCATCTTCTTGTCCCACACACCCCCCTCCGTCTGCTCTGTCGGCAAGTTCTGAGCTTCGAAACATAGACCGAGAGCCGAAGGGCCCACCAGAGCCACCACCAGAGCCACCACCAGAGCCACACCCGGCTCCAAGCCACCACCCTCTCACCTGCACTCACCGATGCGCTCCTCCCCGCTCAGGTCCCGCCTGCTCCCAAGGTCACCTTTCAAGGTCAACAGGGCTGGGGCGGCCCAGGCCTCCTTCCCACCTTCTCCTCTTCTCCACCTCCAGCAACCGTAACCGGGTCCCGTGGGCCCGTGTCCCACACCCCCTCCCCAGAGAAAGCCTGGGTCACACCCGTCTCCGGTCACAGGGCGCGAGAATGCAGAGTCGCACAGCCTTTCCTTGGCCCTGTGCCTCTGTCTTCATTCCTCGAGTTGCTTGAAGTTACTGGTCAACAAATGTGGTCAGATCACTCATCCCGCCCCCATCACAGAGACAAAAGAGGCAGCGAGGTGATGCGCTGGTTTCGGGAACTCACGGGTTCTGAACCAGCCTCTTTCCCACCGCCCTGTGGGAACTGGGCAGGAGGACCCAGTCCCCGGCCACAGGTCACCAGCAGAGCAGCTCCCCTCCCCCATCTCGGAGGTCTCTCTCCCGGGACCGCGTGCCTGTCTGCCCCGTGGAGTGGGCGGGGCCCGGGGTGGATGGGGTGGTGTGACAGGCAGGCCCCTCTCTGTAGGAACCACTCGATACTGCTGCACACGTGGCCTCATCGACGGGCTGGAACGGCTGTTGCCACACGGCAGAGGCTCCCACTGCCGTGGAGGATGGTGGGAAACTCGGGGTGTGAAGGGATGAAGGGACCCGGCAGAGGGGGCGGTGGCATCGGGCAGTGTCTGAAAGGTCCAGGACGCCGGGATGGCTCTTTGAAGGGACCAGTACGTGGCCGTGGCCGGACAGGGAGCTGGCGACGCGTGGACAGAGGGAGGACTGGCACTCGGGGTCCCCACTGGATTAACTCATGAGATGAGCGCGGAAGGTGTTTTCTGTCTCACAGACCGATAGGGGGCGTCTCGTTCAGGAGGCCAAGTGGGGTTTAGGCGCCCGGCAGAGACGTGCCTCAGTTCCCGAAGGAGGCAGGGTTTCAGGGGCTGCTGAGTGAGGGAAGGGAAAGCACCTGGGATTTGGGACACACGACGTCCTTGGGGAGGAGACACGGGGGAACAGGAGGAATAAAGGGAGCGAGCTAACCAGGGGAGGAAGGTCAGGTCTCGGGGACAGTGGGCGCCCAGCGACGAGGAAGTGCAGCCGGTGAGACGGCGTTTCGTACAGTCCTCACAAGTAACCTGACAGGAGGGGACCTGCAGACGGGGCCACCAGAGACCCGGGCCCAGGTTAACCCCGGGAGACGCGCCAGCGTGTGCCTGCAGCAGCTCCCACGGGTGGAGCGGCCCTTTCGGCAGAGGGCGGCCTGCTCATTCTTTCTCGTCTGCTCAGGAGGAGATGAATGTATGTGCAGGAGAAGAGCAGACAGCCCAGGTCCTCAGGTGGCTGTTTTCAGGAAAGGCGAGGCCCCCCCTCCCCCGCCCCCCGCCTCCGGTGATCGAGCTGTGTGTGCCTTGTGCAAATTAGGGAATGGCCTCTGAGGATGAGGACTCTAGAACCGATGTGGTCACCTTGAAAGCAGGAGGGCGTGGGTCCCCCGTGATCTCGTGTTTGGGCACAAGCATACCTTAAAATCGCCCTCACCCTGTGGGCATCCTGGTGCCCGGGCAAGTTCTGGCATGGTGCCGCTTCAGCCCCTTCACCCGCTCCTTCCTGCCCATCATCCCCTGTCTGAAACCTCACGCCCTGGCTCCACCCTGACTTGCCCGAGTGCTGGACACAGGTCCCGAGGCCAGGCTGCATTGTCCCTCTGCCATAGGAGCTTCTGGAACTTCACACCCACCTGGCTTCCCCCGGGCCTCTGAGGCAGTGCCGGTGCTGGGCAGGGTGAGCCACCAACCCCCTGCTTCCTCCTCTCCCCATCCAAATGCTCCCCCGTTTGTACAGCGTCCTCTTCCAGGGAGCCCTCAGGGCTTCCTCCGCCCACCGTCCCGCCTGCCAGCACCATCTCTTCCTCGGCGTTTACAGCAGTGAGTGAGACGGCCAGGGGCCCCGCTCTCCCGGGCCGGTCTCCCTCTTGTCATTCCTGCCGTCGGCACGCACCCCTACGTGTGTCGACCTGTGACGAACGTGTCGATGTGTGTGACTCTGCTTCCACGCGAGGACGGGATGACTATTTTCCCAGGCCCCGTGTTGTCTCATAGTCCCTGCCAGACGCTGACATTCTTGGGGGCAGAGTCTCCATCTTTCTCTGTGTCTCCGAGGCCCAGCCAAGGTGCCTGCTCACCAAACACCCCTCGGCTTGAGAGCGCTGTGTCCCCAGCGCCGTGGGGATGTGATCCCTCGATCCAGCCCTGGCGTTACGGAGAGCAGAGTCCTAGGGACAGCCCCAGGACCCGAGCGATGCAGGGCACAGACCCACAGGGCAGCAGCACCCAGGCCCCCGATCCACTTAAGCGGCTCAGTTGCCGCACCAGCTCCGTGCAAGGTGCTGAGACACAGGCGTGCACACCCAGAGCTCTGGTGGTGGAGGGGGACAGAGGGCACACGGGGACCTCTCACACCAGGCGGGCTGGTGATTTGCGCTCGGAGAGTGTGTGAACCGTGACACCCAGCCCCACGGGTCTTCAGGATCCGGGGGAAGGGGAGCGAGAGCAAAGAGCAGCAGGCTGGGCTGGGTGCAGGTAACCTGGGGGGGTGGGCAGGTCACCTGACGGTAGCACATTCGGGCAGGGTTCTTAGGGTTTGACAGAGCCCAGTGTGGCCCCAGCTGGACCTGTGCCTCCGCGAGCTCCCTTTGCTTTAGACCCCCCCCCCTTCCTCCCCTCCCTTCCTTCCCTGTCTGAGGGCCATGTGCTCAGCGCTCCAGAGTCCTTTCGCCCAAGTGGCCGGCCTTGTGACCAGGTCAGAGAAGAGAGAGCCAGAGGATGCAGTGACTTTGACAAGGTCACGCAATCAGAATGGGTGCCGTGGGTCTCCTGATGCCGGCAGTTAATCCTCCCTCCAGTGCTGGGCCCCAGCCCTAGTGAACTATGTCCTGCCCTCCGCCCCCCACCTCAGGAGGGCGGCCTGGTGCCTCACTGAACGGGCGTCTCCTGGGGGGAAACCGGAAGATTTGGGGTGGGGTGGGGGTGGGGAGCTGGCGACCTGGATGTTACTTCCCCGCCCCCGCCCAGCATCCCTCCCCAGGCCCCACTAGCCACACGCCGTCTCTCTCCAATCCTGGGCCGCAGGGGTTCCGGACGCTTTTACCTGCACCCCCACCCGCATCTCTGCAGACCCTACCCACACCCCTCCGGGCGAGGCCGCGGCCACCCGTGCCCCTGGAGCATCTGCTCCGCCTGTGCGCCCTAAGGGAGGAGAAAGCCGGGCGCCTCGGTTTCTTCCCCCGCCCCGGCCCCCGTCCCCCTACTCATCCGCCTGGAGCTCTGCTGCAAATACCACCCCCTCCGAGCCAGAAATAGACACGCAGCCCTCTCCCCCACCGCCCTCCCTGCTCA